CTTCCCGTGGGGTGAAAGGAGGCTGCCCACGCACGTGGTGCCCGTGCACTACGACCTCCTCATCCACCCCAACCTCACCACGCTGACCTTCTCCGGCTCGGCCAGGATCGAGGTTGTGGTCTCGCAGGAGACCAGCTGGCTCGTCCTGCACAGCAAGCGCCTGCGCATCGCCCAGGCCGCCATCGAGGCCGGGCCCGGCGGCGCCCGCTCCGTGCAGGAGGTGCAGGTTTTGGAGCAGCAGCCCTTGGAGCAGGTGGCCCTGCTCGCCCCCGAGCCCCTGCGGCCCGGACACAGCTACACGGTCAGCGTGCGCTATGCTGCAAACCTCTCCGAGGCTTTCCATGGCTTCTACAAAAGCACCTACAGGACTCAGGATGGAGAGCTCAGGTAATTTTTTTGTAAATCTATAGGTCTTCTCTGACGTTAAATGGCACCTTTTAAAATTTCTTTTAGAATATGTTGTTGTTTACTTCTTATTTCCTACTTCGCAATTATCCTCTTCAGGGATCCTATTCCATTTAGAAACCAAATTGCATCAAATTATATTTGTAGTTGGCTGTTTATCTTACAGAGGCTTTCATCCTTTCATGGCAGTAATGAGGTGCTCGAGTGTGTGGCCTCAACAGGCCTTATTTTGCTGCTGATTACCCTGGCATGGGGTGAGAGGGAAGAGGCAGAAAAGTTGCTGAGGCCAAAACACATAATCTCTTATCTCTTATTCCACACTTCCCTGGGAGCTTCAGTCAAGAAATTCAGTTTGCCCTTCTTTACTTGATGTGCCAAAGTGCTTTGTAGTACTAAAAGCTATTTTGTAAATATGAAGAATTTTTTTTCCACACATCAAGGTGGTGAACATTGTGCATATGAAGGCATGAGACTAAAAAGCTTTTTTTTTTTTTTTTTTTTCCCCCTTAATTGCAGGGTACTTGCGTCCACACAGTTTGAGCCAACAGCTGCACGAATGGCCTTCCCGTGTTTTGATGAACCAGCCTTCAAAGCCAGATTTTCAATTAAGATTAGGAGGGAGCCAAAGCACCTTGCACTATCCAATATGCCGCTTGTAAGTGGATGCTTTTAATGTTACAAGGTCATTAATCAACAGTGTAAAAGGAGAACAGAATATCTAGGCAATAGTTGTTCATAGGAATTGGACCTAAACATCACCTTCATAAATTCTGTGAATTACCATTCATGGAGAAGTGGATCAAATTGATGAATAAAGGGCAGATGCAAGTGATACAGTTCAGTATGGCTAAACATCTTCTATGTCTAAACTGATTACCCAGGACTCTTTCAAGACTCTTTCTCTGCTGAAAGAGATACCTTTAGCAGATCATTCATTTTGTCCTAAAATAGGTATCTAAGGTAATTGAATCACTCTCTGGAAGAGTTCATTTCTCTCATTTTAATAAGCTACTGTTGTGTAAGATTAATTCTATCAATGTGCTAACAAACACTTAAGCAAAACTAAAACAGCTATATTTCTTAATGATTAATTTTAGCAGTGAATACATAAAACTACTCAGATGCATGGTGGGAGAGCGGATTTCTTTCCCATATATCCTTTAAATGTTCTTAATGAAACTGAAAAGAAACCCAGCAATTTTTGATGCCAAGGTCATAACAAATAGTGGTACTGAATGGTGAGCTGTGCTCTGATTTATTTATCTGTTTATTTATTTATAGGTGAAAACTGTGAATATATCTCCATCGCTTGTTGAGGACCATTTTGATACCAGTGTCAAGATGAGTACTTACCTGGTGGCCTTTATTGTTTCAGATTTTAAATCCATCAGCAAAATAACTAGTCATGGAATTAAGGTAACTTTGTTTCATTTTCTACAGCTTTTATTGCAATCAAGCATGAATTTATATGGTTTACTTTTCAGTTAAATTATTTGCTTTATATGCCTTGAGGTTTATAGGAATGAAATGAAAGGAATTGGTTTTGTAATTGGATGACTTATTTAGATTACGAGTTTTATCGGTTTCTTTTTTTTTTTTTTTTTGATAAAATGCTTGCTTTTTATATATTTGCATGTATTTGTAACTTCTTTTCATGTCAGATTATTTAATCAAATGCATATTAAATACATTTTGCGTAAAGGAGAACCAGCACTGAAATAATACTGCAGGGAATGGAAATTTTAGAGGTCATAGAATGATAGAATCATAGAATGCTTAAGGTTGGAAGGGACCTCTAGAGATCATCTAGTCCAACCCCCCTGCACACGCAGGGTCACCTAGAACACGTGGCACAGGACTGCGCCCAAGCGAGTTTTGAAGATCTCCAGAGAACGAGACTCCACAACCTCTCTGGGCAGCCTGTTCCAGTGCTCTGTCACCCTCACTGGTAAGAAATTTCTCCTTAAGTTCCTGTGGAACTTTTGGTGCTTCAGTTTGTGGCCATTTCCTCTAGTTCTATCAGTGGCCACCACTGAAAAGAGACCAGCACCAGCACTCTGTCCTTCAGGTCCCTGGAGGGCAGAGTAGTTCTGGCAGACAAGTTTTAAAAATCGTATTTCTAGTTTTGATTGTATTCTATGGAAAAAAATTGCATGCTTTTGCAGTCTTTTGTATGGGGAATATTAGATATATGTTCTCGTGTCACTTCTTCATGATCATTTGACTAAATATGGTAAACAACAGGTTTCATAAGCTCCTGAGGCTGGTGTTAAAATACTGTCTGCTTGTGTCCTGTAGATTTCTGTATACACAGCACCAGACAAGATCCACCAAGCTGATTATGCTTTGGATGCAGCAGTGAAACTTTTAGATTTCTATGAAGATTATTTTAGCATTCCATATCCTTTACCTAAACAAGGTAAGTGTTAAATCATTAACATGTTATTGAAGAACATTATTAAGAATAGAAAGTTAAATTGCACAAATGTTAATAATTTAGAACAAGAAGACAAGGCTAAGGTTAGCCAAGGTTTTAGGCAGAAAGGTTATTTTTTTGCTGGCTGCCTCAGATAACTGCGTGATAGATGGAAGAGATAGCCGTCCCCTAAAAATACTGAATCTTTTTGTAGAACTTTTTTAAAAGACTGTTTCTGCTATTATGTTATAGAAATGTCTATGATATCGGACATGTGTGTAGGAGCTGAAGGTGGTTGAGGTGAGCAAGTTCTTTATTGAGGTGAGCAAGTTCTTTATTGAATATACTAATAGTATTTTAATTTATTTCTAGATTTAGCAGCTATTCCTGATTTTCAGTCTGGTGCTATGGAAAACTGGGGATTGACCACCTACCGGGAGTCTGTGTTGCTGTATGACCCTGCAAAGTCCCCGGCGTCCTCTAAACTGTCCATCACGATGACAATAGCCCATGAACTGGCTCATCAGGTGAGAAATGGAATAGGATGAAGCCAAACTAATCTTTCTCACTAAAGTAAATGTTTCTTAAAGGTAGCAATGTACTGTAATTTGAGTTTCGTACAGGTCAGTAGCAGCTTTTGTAACAGGCTTTGTACTTTAATTTCAGAAGTGCTCACATCTGTGACAAATTTATTTTTTATTTCAGTGGTTTGGCAACCTAGTTACGATGGAGTGGTGGAATGACCTCTGGTTAAATGAAGGGTTTGCAAAGTTTATGGAGTTTGTGTCAGTCAGCGTTACCCACCCAGAACTGAGAGTCGTAAGCAGCCATTACTGTCTTTTCTTATGCAACTGCCTTCTGAAACCAGTAGTTTGTAGAGATGCAGACCATACGGGTTTCTCTTATGAATCATTTTTTAATTTATCTTTAAAAAGATTATCTGATGTTAACTCTTAAGAATAAGAATGATGATTTAAAGGTATGTAAATATTTTCAGAAACTGATGATGAAAGTTATAGATTGCTATGAATATTCTTTTTAAAAAATACAGATCTCTGAAAAATTTTCAAATTGCTGTAGCACGAGAGTGGATTGATAATAGATACATTCACCTTTTTCATTTTTTTTTCTGTTAGTTTATTTTATGATTTTTGACCATTCTCATCTGTTAAAAAACATAGGTGTCTATTGGAGTTGTTTACTAGGTAGACAAAGCTAATGTAGAAAATTACAGATAATTGATTTTACTTATTTATTTATGATCTGGAGTGAAAATAAAAGGTTATGTTTTGTTTTCTGTGCACAATGTGAAGATGTCGAAGGGCCTGACATGTGAATTCAGTGTTCACAAGCAAAATTTAGAAATAATCATTTTGCCTCCTTCTAGGAAGATTATTTTTTAGGTAAATGTTTTGATGCCATGGAAGTGGATGCATTAAATTCGTCACATCCTGTGTCTACTCCTGTGGAAGATCCATCTGAAATTTTAGAAATGTTTGATGATGTTTCATATGAAAAGGTAAAATACATAACTGCTGTTGATGTCAGTTGTGCTCGCTGTACCATACTATGCCATCTCCAGTCCTGTTCAATTTATTCATCAATGACCTGGATGAAGGCACAGAGTGCTCCCTCAGCAAGTTTGCTGATGATACCAAACTGGGAGGA